GTAGAGTGCAAGCAATTCCAAGATTCCAGTGAACGATCGTGAGCGATGACGTTAGTGTTTTCAGAGCACCAGAGATGTATCCATGTCGATGCGTATTATTTACAGCAAGACAGAGAGCAGAGTAGATCTTGGAGGTATAACGTGTGTGTGGAGGTATTATATATATATGTACATTACAATATACATATATTCTATACAAGAGTGTGATATTATTTGGTCTAACGGGATGATGCGATGAAAACGAACGGTGATTCGCAGCGATTTACAAGGTAAACGGAGAAACGTACAAGCCTGTCGGTCGGGCGGATCCGAGAGTTCCACGCGGGTTTTATCGAGTCGGCAGTAGTACAGTTCGGTCAGTGAAATAACACGGTTTCTTTCCTTCGAAACGTCCTTTATTTTCTCATTCATCTCTAAACGACATCCACGCTACACGCTAATAACATTCGCCTTGACTAAACTCTTAACTTTTTACCGTTCCTGGCTGGGTGCTCGGTAAAGGGGACGCGCGCGCGCGCGCGCGCGACGGGTAAGCGACCACCGGGCACGAGAAAGAACGACGCTCGAACGCGGAAAAATGATCGGGAACAACGGATACGACCGCGAGGCGAGACGGAACGAGCGTCTCGCGTCGTATCTGGACCGCAAAAATTATTTTTAAAGGCCCGCAGATAGGATGGGTTATAGTCCAATCGGCCGATAAATAGATTCGTCCTTGGCTCGATTCGTGCGCGCGCGAGAGCGCGATCCGTCCCCGGCGAAAGCTCGGTCGGCAAAAATTGCCGCGCGTGCTTTTCAACCGTAGCTGGGCCGATCCACCCGGCGGATAAAAGCGGCGCCGGTGATCGACCGAGAGAAAGCTACAAAGTTGACTTTATCGCCGTCGGGGTTGAAACTACCCCCGCGACAGGTCTCAGGGGGTGTGGATGAAGAAGAGCACAGTAATACCGAAAGAGGGACGTATCGATTTAGCTATGGTTGCTCGGGCCACGTTTGCCGGTGAGCCGGAGCAGATGGCGGAACGTATTTCCGAAAAAGCAACCCCTTCTCGACCGGCGCTTCGAGCATGCACGTTTCGAGAGCACGTCCCCGTGGAACTTAAGCTAACGCGGTTAGTCGTGTATTAAACTTTCTATTTTCTTTGGCGTGCATCGAGGTAACTCGTTTCACACGATCGGAAGACTAGACTTTGACGAAAGGGAACGCCGTTCGGGGAGTATGTACAAAGAAAGCTCGTGAACTGGTCGCGGAAGGGTATTTACAGACGCCTGAGACCATTTCCAACGCGTCCGTGGTTCGCCCGTCGAGTGGCATCCGTTCGATTTCTCGTGCCGGGTAGGATCAAGGGATAGAAACGCGGCGGTGGTCGTCGTGGACAGCCGGAAACGCGGATCGGAAGAGCCGGCCAGACTCCTCGGGTCCCTTCGTTTTCGCCGCACGTCCGTAGTCGGAGAGGTCAAGACGGAATCCTCGGCGCAATTCGGTCACTAAACCACGGGGGCCGGTCAATACGTGACCTCGCAATGTTCCTCGTGCTCCTTGCGCTCCTTCCTCGCGTGGTACTGGCTCTTGTGGCTGACCAGGCTGTTCCTGGACTTGTAACTCCTGCCGCATTGATCGCAGGAGAGCGACTGCGGCACGTAAAAGTGCGTGTCCGCCAGGTGCCTCTGAAGGGACCAAGCCCGCGAGAAGGTCTTCTGGCAGAAGTTGCAGTAAGTGCCGCTGTTCGAGCGGTTGTTCGCGTGTTTCGACTCTTGCTCGAAGCCGCGAGTCGGCTTGGCGGATGCCTGCTGATTGCCGTTCTGCGCGAGCCACCGTAGGTCGGCGAACTGCGAGATCTCGTTGGCCGCCGTCCTCGGCTGTTGATGCTGTCCGCCGTTAGCTCGGCGGCCGTTCTGATGGCTCGAGCCACGATCCGACGACTGCGAGTCGATCTGATCGGCGAGCAGACAGGTCTCTATCTCGTCTATCTTCGGCGACACCGGCTCCGACTTGAGCTCGATCTGCATCTGATCGGTAATGTCGTCTAAGAGATCGATTATGGGCAGCTCCTGGTGCTGTTGGTGTCCCTGCACCACCACGCACCGGCCAGCTCCTGCCTGACTTTGCTGGCCAGACCGGCCGTGGCCGGTTTCCCGTTGACCGTCTCCGTTGCCTGCGGACTGCCAACCCCCGTCCTCCTCGGCGACCTCCCGGTCTGCAACCAAAGAGGAGGGGGCTGAGTCCAACCGGGGTTCCCGCGGATTAATCTTACACGCGCTGTCTAAACGAAGCGGGCGTCGAGGGCGGATTTCCTTCGTCCTGTCGTCGAGAGCGACGCGCGGTTTGCGACGCGGGGACGGCGGGGGCGGCGAGAAAAAGGGGAGGCTCGGGCGGCGGTGGCGGTGGCGTGCGAGATAAAAGAAAAGAGAGGAGTTCACCGCGGAGGGAAACGCGGCCGCCCGCTTTCCGACTAAACGGACGCGGATGTTGTTAATCGGCCGCGAGTTAAAAGGAGGCGCGGAAGTGAAGAGCCGCCGGGAGCGGGACGGAGACGGAGCAGGAAGATGAAGAGGCCGCGCGAGTATCGGTGTACGGAGGAACGCGAGGGTTGAAGGGCGGTCTGCTGTTCAAGGGAGGTGGGACGGAGGGGGGCCGTGGGTGGCAGTAGCTCGAGAAGGTAGGACGAGTATACGAGTATTCATCGTCTCATAAAAGCCAGTATAACGTTCGCCGAGGATGAGATGTCGATACAACGAGAGGAGCGGCGTTGGTAACGGGTGTGCAAGAGAGCAAGAGCAACAGCAGGAGCAAGAGCAAGAGCAACAGCAGCATAGGCGGCGGCGGCGGCGGCGGTGGCGGTGGCGGTGGCGGCAGCAGTACAGGAACATAACGGGCGATGCTTCTTCTTTGCGGGATTTTACCCAGCCGGTTACCTTAGCAACGGAACCTCCCCCCACGAGCAACGCTCCTTCCCCTGTTTTTCCGCGGTGCCTCGTTGGGAAGGGGATATATACCTAGGATGCGTATTATTCTTAATAACCCCCCGTATGCCGTTGCGCTGTATTATGACTGATGTTGACTCTAAGCGCGGAGAGCCACGGCGATCGATAGCCTCCGCTACACTCTCTCCGCGACTACGAAACCGGGAGAGAGCCAACAACGACGGGAGGGCCGAAGGGGGTTGGCAAAGAGGGAAACCAAGAGACAGAGACGGAAAGAATGAGAGAGAACACAGGCAGAGAACCGGCTGCGGGTGGAGGCGGCCAGGGGGACGCCGAAGTAGGAGGTGGAGGACACAGGGCCGAGGGATCCAAGGGGAGGGAAAAATCTAAGTAGCTTCCGGATTGGTTACGCGAGTCTTACGAACTTTTTGAAAGAGTTACGTGGACAGTGGTGGGGGCCGAGGAAGACGGGGGCTCGCGAACCAAGGAGGAGAACCAGAGGAAGAACTCTCTCGCCGACCCTCCTCCCTTTGGCCCTCCCAGACCCTCTTTTCGCCCGATACGCGGTTGCGCGTTTCGCGAAATCCGTGCGATCAAACCGATAACTCTGTTTCGCGTGTCCGACCGTTCTTCTCGTTCCCTTCGAGTCGAAAACCGACGTGTTCCTATCGTTCCTCGTATCTAAGATCTTCCGGCGCGCTACTCGTCGAGTCCGGTCGGACGGTTTTCGTTCGAAATCTCGCGAGAATCCGTGGCAACGAACCGCGGACGGGGAGAGGAAGAAAAATGAAGACGCAAGGCCAATTTCTTCGCGAGAATCTCTCGCTCCGCTCTCGTTCGCTGCCGGAGACTGGCGGTGGGGCTCGAAACTAAATTGCCTCGATGAATTAAGCACCGCAACCGAGTAGACCTTCACCTTGTATCTCTCTCCCTCTCTCCGCCTCTCTCCCTCGGGAGAAAGAGACCGGAGGTGGTAAAGCCAGAGAGAGAAAGAGAGAGAGAGAGAGAGAGAGAAAGAGAAAGAAAGAGAGAGAACGAGAGATAGAGAGTCGTGCACGCCTCTCCCGGAGATCGCGATTCGACCGACACCGTAAACAAGCTTTATTGATTTCCGATTGCTCGTCGAAAATCCCGCGATAACGCGGCCGCCGCCGATGGCCGGCGAAAGAAAGTCCGTTCCCGACGATTGGAACGCGGCGATCGATTCTTTTCGGCGCGCGGGCGGTCTCGCTTACGTAACCCGGTCGAAACTACGATTCCGATTGGCGACTAGATACACCGCGGATGCGAACGATTTCCGCTTCGAGATCCCGACCCCGCGAGAGATCTCCTCGTCGATCGAGAGGAGATCTTCCCGAGAGGA